CTCGTTCAAATGGATTTCGCTCAAAACCTAAATTTGAACACTTTAAATTTGGATACGAAAAAGTTAATATTCGCGTAAAGACTTACATCCCAAGTAATGGCATCTGTGAAAAGCAAATGACTGATTAAAAGAGCCATATTCCTCAGTTTCGTAATATCAAAGCGATGGATAGTTTGATAAGTCCCACGAGCTATCGTCTCAAAAGTAGCCTAAAATCAAAAAAAGTCATATACTATTGAGAATAACTTGAAATTCACGTTTCAGCCGACAAAAATGCTCGCAGAGAAGTCCATAAAACCTTTCATAAGTACGTTGCTGTGCACAACAATCAACGAGCATGTGCATGAGTTCCGGCTAAAATGAAATAAAAAAATGTGGCTCTTTTCTATTACTAGGTACCTTAAAATTTAACAAAAGCGGGTTCCACGGTTAAAGTACCTAGTAATTGGGAAGAGCCAAAAATTTTTGTATTCTATCAATAAGCCCAACCTCCAATTCTGGCTTGACACCCATTTTGAGAAGTTTGTGAGAGGCCTCTTGATAGTCGAGCGATCATTGAATTGGCAAGTGAACTTCGCGACGGAAAGCAACGAGATTTTGCTCAGTGTTGTCAATGATTTCAATTTGTTGAGGTTGAGCTGAAATAGGTATTTCAATATTGCATTAGATTCGTCTCAAGTTTTATAAAATTTAAATTGATGAAATTGCATGTCGACCGTTTGCAGCTGTCTCATCGTCACCTTCTTCATTCTCGTCCTCTTCCACTGATTCCTCTTCACTTTCACCGGCGTCACCAATGATTTGTTCACGGATCTCGTTGAAGGCAGCTTCATTTTCCTCAAAATCGGGATCCAGTTTGAAAATGTCTGTAAAGTTTGTTTGAAAGCCAAGCTGATCGAAAATCAAATTTTTTAGTTCACCCACTAAGCATATTTTCAGGATCGCTAGCATCTTCAAGGGAAAGGGTGTTTGTAATTTGGTCCTCTTCCGAGATAAGATCGAGTTCATCAATTAAAGCTGGGTAGTCCTTAAAGAATAAACTTTGCCAGGCAATAGAACTAAAAAGTGACCGCAAATTTATCTCTCCGAATTGCCATTGCAGTTTCAATCTTATAACGAATACGTGAATCCAATTGTGCTTCAGCAAGAATGTTTCGAAGTCTTGAGAAAACATTGTCCAAGGCACGCGGGGCAACCTAACAAATCATTTCTCAATAAGCGCTTTTACATAAAGCAAAACTCTGTCAGTTTCGCGCCACATTCTTCCAGAAAAGCAATGCACACTCCCACTGAATCTTCCGTTGGTGTTTTAAGCATCAAAAGCATGATTTCAAATACAAGCAAACGTTCAAATTGCTCACCTGATTTATCCTAAATTTTTTTTGTGACCACGTTATCATCTGATGCATTACCTGAATTTGTTGTTGCATCAACTTCAGCTTCGCTGGTGGGATGCATGCGCCTCCAGTGCGAGAACGCAATAAATCAACAGAGTCTTTCTTTTCCTAAAATGTATTTACTTCAACAATATGCTGTTTTTCTTTGAATATGAATTCGATGCAAAACTGACAGAGGTTTGCTTTATGTAAAAGCGCTTATTGAGAAATGATTTGTTAGATTGCCCCGCGTGCCTTGGACAATGTTTTCTCAAGACTTCGAAACATTCTTGCTGAAGCACAATTGGATTCACGTATTCGTTATAAGATTGAAACTGCAATGGCAATTCGGAGAGATAAATTTGCGGTCACTTTTTAGTTCTATTGCCTGGCAAAGTTTATTCTTTAAGGACTACCCAGCTTTAATTGATCACTTGATCTTATTTCGGAAGAGGACCAAATTACACATACCTAAAAAATTTGTTTTTCGGTCAACTTGGCTTTCAAACAAACTTTACAGACATTTTCAAACTGGATCCCGATTTTGAGGAAAATGAAGCTGCCTTCAACGAGATCCGTGAACAAATCATTGGTGACGCCGGTGAAAGTGAAGAGGAATCAGTGGAAGAGGACGAGAATGAAGAAGGTGACGATGAGACAGCTGCAAACGGTCGACATGCAATTTCATCAATTTAAATTTTATAAAACTTGAGACGAAGCTAATGCAATATTTAAATACCTATTTCAGCTCAACCTCAACAAATTGAAATCCTTGAAAATAGAAAATAGGATTTATTGGTTTTTGTCCACAGAAAGGAACACAAAGCATTTATCAGAATTGAGAGCTCCTTTTGCAGATCCAATGAAGCTGCGGAGTGGTAGGAAGAAGGGCCAACCATATCCCATCAGCGCTCCAAAGCTGAAATGTGTTCATTTCTGATGGAAATCCTTTGATAAAACACTTTGCGTTATTTTACACAAAGAAGTTTTCTCAGATTGATCTGAACATTTTCATATTATGCATTGGAAATTGGATTAAATATTGGTGATTTCAGGCTGAAACTCTCACAAAAGCGTGGGTGTTCGAATCCGGGTATCCCGATTCCCAATTAGTGAAATCCACCGAACTTCCATCCGGCCATTCAAAAGCATTTCCTTTGTTCGGATTTCTCTGAATAAAGAAATTTTTATGTTTCATTGTTGATATTTCAACCAAATTTTTTCCATTTTAGAACTATTCTAGTTTTTCAATTGAAAGCATTATTTCTATCAAAGAACTATCAACCAAACGTATCTTTTTCTACAAAGAGCCTTCCGACAATGGCTGAAAGGATTATTATTTTCTTTTTATTCAGTTCTTTCAATAAGAAGAATTCAACCTTCAGTCCGATCCAGAACAAAGCACTCGAATTAACAGTTTTGGCTGAAATAAATATAGCTTGTTTTTGGTTATAGGAATATATAAATAGGAAAGAAAGAAGGGAGGGTCGTTTCGAAGTTTGCTGTGCGAGTTAAAAAGTTCACTCTGAAAATATTCTCCTTTTCATAAAGATACTGAGATTTAGTACCTTTTGATATTGAGTGTGTGTCTGTCACCATGTTCTCATCTCAGTTTTTAGCTATAGAGAGAGGAGAGGGGAGTAAGGGATTAATCATCATCAAAACCGAGGATCAGGGGAAAAATATCGAATTTGCAATTGACACCTCCCTAATGAAGAAAAATTGAAGGTTGGTCAATGGGTTAAGAGAGAGGGGCCAAGGGCCAAAAGGCGGGTTTGATTGAAAGTTCTTGAATAAATCTAGCAAGATTATCAAGACACCAAATCACCCGAGATTCAAAGTGATAGTTGTCTGAAGCTAAGACAATATATACAACAAAATTGTCGAGTAGGATTCTCAAGAATTTGTCGTGTCTCACGGTTGACATACATAAAACCTTTGACAGAAAGCTTAGTTAGAAGTTAGCAAATCATTTCTGATGGAAGAACCACAGCTTCATAACCGGGATGGTAAAAGGCTGATCTATCCTCCTAACTTGGAGGCCGATTTGGTTGACGGAAGGGAGAGAAATTGAGAATTGGAAAGGAAGATTGCCGAGACGAAAAGGAAAAATGTCTTATGTTTTTTTTGTGGACAAATGCCAATAAATCCCATTTTATTCCATCTTCTGAAAACCCACAACTGCACATTATCTTTTTCTTTATTTCTGAATTGTTTGTTCAAAATCTCATATAAAAAGTTTTCCCAAAAATCCAGAATTCCGCGGAACCCGATAGAAGACTAGATTGAATAGATAGAAATGAGCACATTTCAGATGTGTGCCAGAGGATGACCGAATGTTGTGCGAGAGTCGCGGTAACGATTTCCTGGTCGACGAGTCGAGAGTTCTGCCACAATTGATTGGAGAGAATCTGTACAAGGAGACGGACGGCGAGGTCAAAGTGCAAGCCAAAGGCTCATCCACCACTCAAGTCAAGGTCAATGGATTGAAGGCTCAGACACAAGTGGATGTGTTGGCGTGCCATTTGATGGAAAGTGAGCTGACCGGCTGCTTTGCGTGTGAGACTGGGGTCAGTCTGAAGTACCTTTGTCGTTCCGGATTCGGTAAACAACTGACCGAATTGCAATGTGGAACGATCTCGGCGGTACTCCAATGCGATGGCACCCAGCAGAAACGAGTGACCAACATGAGATTCCTGCAAGCGGTGATCGACCAAGAGTGCGAGCTGAAGTGTCCAGGTGGGACAAGGAAAGCGATGGTCACCGGCCAACCCGTCTACGTACCAAACTACGGAAATCGATGGGTCACGGGAGACGCGACAATGAAGGAGCGATCAATGTGGAACGAGATGAAGAAGTTCGCGGAGGCGGTGGTGACGGATCATCTTCCAATCCTTCCAAGTTTCATTGCCGTAATGTAATGCCCCTCTTGCCCAAACTTATCAAATTTGTTATCAGATTGTTCTTTTGATTTTTTGCGCGCGGGAGTGTGCAGAAAAGTGGCTCTTTTCTGTGAAATCTTATTTTATGTTTTGATTTTGAATATCTCTGATTCCCTTGTCCTTCCTCTAAAGATCGTTTTGGTGATAAAGGGGACGGAGCCCACTTTGTATTTCTGCTCATTTGGCTTTTACACTGAACCAACGATTGATTCTATTTTATTATATATTTTCTCGCTATTGTGTTTCCTTATTGTATTTTCTCGATTCGTGATTGCTGAATAGTCTGAATATTGGTAAATTATTGAGGAAATCCGAGTGTTCTCATTCTATTTCTTGGCCCACATCATTGTTGTTTTGTAGCAGTTTTTGCTGAAATGAATATTGATTGTTTTTGGTTGACAACTGATGACTAAACGAATCGGGCATTCCCCTCCTTTCTCTTGGTAAGAAAAGAAAATTTTCCGTGGTAAGAAATCCCTATTTTGCTTGGGAACGAATTTCTTTTGTCTTCTCTCATCAATTTTGCTTATTTAGTAGTTTTTTTCTTTAATTTCCACTAGTTCTTCGAGAAAATTCAGTCATTTTGTAGGCATCCAATCGTCTAGCAACCGAAATGGACAATCTCTCGAATCTTCCTCCTCGATCTCTTCAGAGCATCTGTTCTTTTTCCAAACCTCCAGAAATGCCGGAAGATAAATTGCCTGAAAAGAGTGTCAAACGTATAGAAGAACAGGCCAACTCGTTGAAGAAAATCGCCCAACTCGAAGCCGATTTGTGGGTTTTTCGCCAGATCTTTTCTTCTACCAAAAACAGTCTTTAATTTAATCGAAGAGTTCAGGGAAGAAATGAAAAAGCACAAAGAGGCCGAGATGAGTCGATGGGCAGAAAAAATCGCTCAAATCGAGGCGAATTTGAAAATCGCGAAGTTGGAGGCTGATTTGGTTGACGAAAGGGAGAGAAATCGAGAATTGGAAAGGAAAATCGCCGAGGCGAAAAGGAAGAACGACGATCTCGAAGCACAATTGTACTAATTTTGCCATTTTGTTTTTTGACAGGCGCAACATAAAATATAGAGTAAAATCGAAATGTTTTTAGAAGAACTCAAGATACGGAAATGAGAGATGGGAAAGCCAAGATTGGAGAGCTCGAGGGGAAAATCAACGCGTTGCAGAGCAAAATCTCTGGCTTTGAAACCCAAATGTTAGTTTATCTGGTATCTCTTGTTGACTGAGACTTGAGAAAACAGTTTTTTCACTCCCAAAACACCGACTCCACTCAATCCAATTAATTCCTCTCTAGACAATTTGAAAGGGAAAGCAAAACAGCCGAAATGGTGACTTGGATCTTGGATCTGGAAGGATGGTCGTATTTGGCAAAAACCGCCTCTTGGTACAAGGTTTGGTGGATATAGTGAACCAGGATTATCTTCATCTCAAGATTATCGAACAAAATATGACATTTGATAAAGCCGAGGCATATTGTGCGAGTCGAAAGATCCATTTAGTCTCAATTCACAGTCCCGCAGAGAACGATTTTGTTCAGGAACTCGGTAAGAAATCGAAATGATTCAATTCTGAAAATTCAGGATTTTCTTAGAAATTTATGCTTTATAAACCAAAAACAACCGATATTTATTTCAGCGGAAACTGTTCATTTGAATTGTGGGTTCTGGATCGGACTAAAGGTTGAGTTTTTCTTATTGAAAGACCTAAATAAATATATTAAAAGTAATGCTTTCATTGCTTCAGATTCTTTCAGCCATTTTCGGAAGGCTCATTGTAAAAGAAGATTCGTTTGACTGATAGTTCTTTGAGAGAAATAATGGTTTCAATTGGAATACTAGAATAATTTCAATAATATTAAAGGAAAATCGGATCGAAATAGCAACAGTGAAGCATAAAAATTTCTTTATTCAGAGAAATCCGAACAAAGAAAATGCTTTTGAATGGACAGATGGAAGTGCGGTGGATTTCACGAATTGGAGGATTGAAGAGCCGAATTCGAACCCCTACGTTCATGTGAGACTTTCGACATGAAATAATCAATATTTATTCCAATTTGCAATGCATAATTAATCCAAAAATATTTCGATCATTCTTAGGAGATTGCTTTTTGTGGAATGACGCAGGGTGTTTTATCAAAGGATTTCCATCAGAAATGATCACATTTCAGCTTCATAGCTCCGATGGGATATGGCGAGCCTATTCTCCTACCAATCAGTATCGTTTTATCTGCAAAAGAAGCTTTCAATTCTGATAAATAGGTTCCTTTCTGTGGACAAAAACGAATAAATCCCATCTTATTCAAACTTCTGAAAACAGAGCACTGCACATTATCTTTTTCTTTATTTCTGAATTGTTTTTTTTTGGTTCGCTCCTGAATAGACTATTAGATAAACGTGTTAAACATCAATGGACATCAACATGAGGAAACTGACAATTCTTCGTGAAGGTCGCTCTTCTCGTCCCTCAACTCGTCGATTTGTCTTTGATTTTTGTTCCTGAAGTTCTCAATAATTCGATGGATGCTTTTTTTCGACTCACTGTTGGTTCCATAGGCGGAGATTTTTGTCCCTTTTTGGCTAATCTTAACGATGAAGCAATTAGATAATGTATGTATGTATTGTAGTATCGAATATGTATCGACGTAAATATATGTAAATGTATGTATCGACGCGGTTCTTCGCTCGGAAGGAGTCGATCAGACAACAGTGCAATTGTTACACGACCATGCCCGTCCTCAAGTTACCAAAATTACACAAGAGAAAATTGAGCAATTGGGCTGGGAACTTCTAGTTCATCCGCCTTATAGTCCAGATATTGCCCCGTCTGACTACCATTATGCGGCATTCACTCGAAAGCAATAAGTTCTAGAACGTTGACGACATCAAAAAAATGGGTCTCTGCTTTCTCTCAATCAAAACCAGCACTTTCAAGGGAGTATCCATAGTTTGCGTCAAAGATAGAAAAATGTTATTGATAGCTGTGGGGAATATATTGTTGATCAAATTGTTTCTAGTTGATTTTTATGAATAAATTTTGTTGTAGCTCAAAAACGAAATTTCAATGTCGCCAACCTAATAGATATGATGAGCTGTATATGTCTTTATAGTCAAAAACCGAATGAAATCCCATTTTCAGACAATATTTGTTCGATGAAATCATTTAGCTATGTACATATCACTACATTATACTCTTTTAACAACTTTTCTTGCAAAATGGTCGACTATATAAGGTGCCGGTAGTAATGTCAAACTGAAAGCAATCAAAATGGAGTTCACTCGAAATTCCCCATTCATTTGCCTCGTGATGTTCTCGGCGACGTTTGGGAAGAATTACGTGTAGCTAAGCGGATTTCTTTGTCCAAATCCAAAACCTCTTTGAGGCACGACTAGCGAGTGAAGAAGTCCGGCGAAAGAGATGCTGTTGGAGAATTCGCCTGAAGCTGCAAGTATTTTGCTCTCTCGTCGCTCGAAATTGGTTCGATGAAATCATTTAGCTAAGTACATATCACTACATTATACTCTTTCAACAACAACAACGACTTTCAACAACTTTTTTGTGTTAAACCAAAAAAGTGGCATTTCAGGAAACAAAAAAACCGTCGGTAAGTCGGTTCGCAAAAACACATCAAATCTGATTGGGTCTAGCAAATATCGACATTGTTCCCTCATCCTCCAGGTTCACAATGCGTGCGTTCATTTGCAAGTCAATCGCAACCAGGGATTTGTTCCATGAAGTCAACTTTTCGAAATGTTCATCAACTTCTTGTACGTCAATTTTGTAGAAATTAAACGAATAATCAAAACAAGGGATTTTCTCTCCAGTTTTATAGTTTTTCGGATGATCGAGTAGAACAAAATATGTTTCTTCTCTTTTCCTTTTCCCACTTTTACCGGTATTGCTTGGGCATTGCAGGAAAAAAAATACGCCAGCCTCATCGAAATTGTCTTTAGACTTTAAAGACAAATTTTGAAGAGGATCACCCCTAAACGGGCCGATCATCGAGCCTCCTTCTCTCACTTTCAATTGATCGTTCAGCGCTTCTCGAAATTCTGTATAACTTTGTAACAATGCAATAAAAGGCTGTTCTGTGCATTCATAGTACGGAATTTGCATCTCTTTGGGAAATGGATATTCAGAATCATCAGGAACACCGAATTTCAGGAAACATCTCGGTTGATCACAATTCTTGGCGGATTTCTGAGCTGAAAAATGTAAGCAACAATAGACACCTTCCATTTTGGTGCTTCCTTTTCTCGAATAAACACTGGAACAAAGTTCTCGATCTGAAATTTGGTGAAACGTTTCAGCTTTTCTTTTGCTCTTTCAAGCGCTTCAATCACCATGTAAAGATCGATCGGTTCGAGATGAGAATAGAAGAGTTGATTCTCCGAATAACGCTCAACAGTCGACTTCTTTGCTTTCTTCTTTGCCCAATAGTTGGACTTGTTTCGAGATTCAACGAGAAACGTTTTCCCATCCGAATCATCTAGCCATTCTCCTTCAAACTTCTCGACTCGATCAAGCTCCTTATTAACAAAGTGATTTGCATGTTCATTGATCAATAACCATTCCTCTTTGGTTGATTGAGAGAAAAAGGCTTTGAAGTGGATTCTTCTTGTGTAATATGTTTTCTTTAACATCTCTATATCTTTCACAGTCTTATCAATGTAACGATAGTATGACCAGTAGGAAAAACTGCGTTTGCCCATATTTTCCAAAAGGTTAAAAGGTTCCTCATATGCTAGAATCTGGTCTTCATAGTCGGTACGTAAAATCTCGTGGAACAGCTCGTTGATCGTGTTCTTTCTAGAATTCATTCTTCTTGGATCAGTGTCAAATATGAATTTCATTCATTGAAAGGTTCATTCAGATTCTCGGTTTGATTGATCAGCGCGGGAATCTTTTGCAAGGTTCTAGCTTGGAAAGCTCGGAATTGAGAGCGAGAGATGTGCCGGTAAAACCGGCGATGTGCCTCAAATTGTTCCGTTTTTGCGTGTTCTCCAATAAATTGTTCAACTGATTAATTTAAAACTTAAACGGATTACTGATGCCTAAATCATCGTATAGATTTGTTAAAACAAACCTAAAACATTTTGCTAAAAGTCGGCTATCGGCTCCAAAAATATTATCGAGAAATAAAATTTCCACATTAAGTAGCGATATGCAATTCCAAATCATTTAGATTAGCAAAGAAAACCGGTCCGAGATGAATTAGTTGTATCCGTGGAAAAGAAAGCGTCAGCCAGCCGGAGGGATGCTGACATTATGGAATGAAAATTAAAATGTCGGCGAGGGACAAGTCCCCGATTCATTGTAGTATTGGCAGACTATCAGGAAATATACTAGGGTTAAAGGATTTGTTATTCTGTTAATTATGGTTTTAAGAAACCAAATTATCAGCACATGGTATAATTTCAGATGACGAATCTGGTGTTCGAGAGTATTCGGTAGATTTTACGAATTGGGCCGGAGGAATTCCAAATTCGGACACCCGGGTCGAGGTGAGATTTTCATCACTCAATCATTCATAAATTTTGCTGAAAAAGCAGTCAATCGAGACCATCCCAATTTTGATCTCCAATTATTCAAAAAAGATTTATCGTCAATGTCACCAGCAAATTGAGAGAATTTCTTTATGTAAATGAATAAAGAATTTCTTTTCAGATTGCTATCAACGGGGGAAAACGGGTGTCTCTCATCTCGACATTACGTGTCCTTTTATATGCAAAGAGGGATCTCAAATGGCTTTTACTGAGTGAAGAAACGATTAAAATGCATCTTATCCGCTTTTCTTTTTTCATAAATGCACTTTATTGTCGGATTTCTATTCAATTTCTCAATTCGAGGCAAATCGTTCAGGTTTTGAATCGTGGCATCAACTTGTTTAGAAAAGGGTTGATTTTTCGACGGATCTGTTGGATCATTTCGTCATCGCCATCAAATGACTTCTTAGTTGAGAGATCATGTCTTTGTCGATAGAGGAAAAAGCTCATGTTGTGCGCGTCCTGAAGGAGAATGCTACTTTATTTTTCGTATTTTAATATGCAGCATAAAGCAGAAATATGAAGCTAAGACAGATTCCAGTGAACACATTCAATTTCTCAAGTTGTCGGCTGTTAGAGGTACAATCCAGCTCAAAATGAGTTGGATTGACCACATATTGGCTGAGCGATCGATTCAGATCGGACCTAAATGCTGCTGATTGAAAAAGTGATCTCTGAGCAATTCCCACCATTTCTCATTGTGCAGATCGCCTTGAATGCCGGCAAGAAGGGTGAGAATTACCTCATCCGTGAGCGAAACGAAATGAAACGAAGGGCCATCCCGAAATGATGTAGTAGGTGATCGCGCAGCTGCCCGTAACTCTCCAATTAAAAATTGTCAATGGCTGCTGTTCTGATGTGCTTTTGGAGGAAATCCTTGAATTCCTTCTCGATCTCCTTCAAATAGATTCAGTTAAAATTTTAAGACATGGTTTTTTCAATAGAAAAGGAAGAATAGTTGCAGCGTTGTTCAAAATGCAAAACTCTTTAATTAATCGAGGGCGCGTTAAGAATTTAAAACGTACTTTATATTGTAATGGATATTTTAAATAGATAATGAAGCTATTTGATTTTATCGTTACGGGCCTAAAACCTCCCGCAGCCCAATTGCAGAATCCCTTCAAACATACTTCTTCTGAGCATGTCTCCATCTCTCGTAACCATATCTCTTCTCGGAAACTCTCCCTCTTCCTCATCGCAATCAACAACTTCCTCTCCTTAAATTAGCATTCACAATTGTTTCTGAGGCGTCAACGAATATTTTAGGGATCATATCGTTCACCTAAGCCAACATCTGTCGCATTCGTAAGAATGGGGTTTCTACGGATTCTTCTACTGGTTTGAATCAAATGAATCCTGTAACTAAAGCCGAATTCCAGATCCTCTGTCTACTGGCCTTTTCCGTGAAATTGCATGAACATCAATGACCCTAACAATCGTTTTCACTATTCTCTTCCTCAACTTGCCAAAACAAACTCGAACCCACACGAGTTTTCTGCTTTTTCTGATCTCCATGATAACTTTGATCCAACCACGGAACGCCGTACTTTCGATCTATGCCGTTATTCTAGTTAATTTCGACTAATAGGGACTCCTTTGATTGAAAAGAGATCTTTGTTAAACTCAAAGCGATTTTCGAATAGCATCTCTCTCGCCGGACCTCTTTACCCGCTACTCGTGGCTCAAAGAGATTTTGGATTTGGACAAAGAAATTCGCTTGGATTTGGAGAACTTTCAGGAACAAAAATCAAAGACAAATCGACGTGTTGAGGGACGAGAGGAGCGACCTGTCAGTTTGTCAGTTTCCTCATGCTGATGTCCATTGATGTTCAACGCGTTTATCTAATAGTCTATTCAGGAGCGACAAGAGAGCAAAATACTCTCAGCTTCAGGCGGAATTCCGGGTTTTTGGGAAAACTTTATATGAGATTTTGAACAAACAATTCAGAAATAAAGAAAAAGATAATGTGCAATTGTGTGTTTTCAGAAGATTGAATAAAATGGGATTTATTGGTTTTTGTCCAAAGAAAAGAACACAAAACATTCATCAGAATTGAGAGCTGGTTTTGCAGATAAAACGCCACTGAGAGGTAAGAGAAGCGGACCACCATTCCCCATCGTAGCTATCAAGCTGAAATGTGTTCATTTCTGATGGAAATCTTTTGATAAAACAATTTGCGTTATTTTACACAAAAAACTCCTAAGATTGGGCAAAATCTTTGCGATTAATTATACATTGGCAACTGGAATAAATGTCGATCATTTCACCCAGAAAATCTCACCAAAGCGTGGGCGTACGAATCCGGTTGTCCAAGATGCCAATTCCTGAAAACCACCGAACTTCCATCCGTCCATTCAAAAGCATTTCCTTTGTTCGGATTTTCCTGAATAAAGAAATTTTTCTGTTTCACCGTTGATCTTTGATTTTTTTTAATTTTTATGCTTAGACATTGATATTTCGATCCGATATTCTTTCTTATTATTGAAATTATTCTAATTTCTCAATTGAAACCATTATTTCTATCAAAGAACTATCAGTCAAACGAATCATTTTTTCACAAAGAGTCTACCGAAAAGGGATGAAAGAATCATCACTTTCTATTTATTAATTTCTTTCAACAAGAAAAATTCTACCTTCAGTCCGATCCAGAACAAAGAATCCGAACGAACAGTTTCCGCTGAAATAAATATCGGTTGTTTTTGGTTTATAAAGCATAAATTTCTACAAAAACCCTGAATTTTCAGAATTGAATCATTTCGATTTCTTACCGAGTTCCTGAACAAAATCGTTCTCTAGAATCTCTAGAAGTGTCTCATCCTCAGATATTTCTTTAAGGACTCTCAAGACTCACATCTCGGCTTTCAAATCAGCACCAATCTTGGTCGATCGATCATCACTTTCCTGACTGTGAATTGAGACTAAATGGATCTTTCGACTCGTACAATATGCCTCGGCTTCATCGAATGTCATTTCTTGATCGAAAGCCTTGAGATGAAGATAATCCTGGTTCACAACATCCACCAAACCTTGTACCAAGAAGCGGTTTTTGCCAAATATGACCATCCATCCAGATCCGAGAAAGTCATCGGTCGATTTCTGAGTTTCTTCGAAAAACTTTACTCCAGATTTTTTAGACCAAGACTCAATCGTTACTTAAAAAACTCACAAATCTGCCTGCAACTTCGCGATTTCGACTGTTTTGATCCTTTCAAATCGTCTAGAGAGGAATTGATTGGATTGAGTGGAATGGGTGTTTTGAGAGTCAAAAAAACTGTTTTCTCAAGTCTCAGTCTACAGGAAATAGTTAGATTCTAATATTGTTGAACCCACAAATCAGCCTCCAACTTCGTGATTTTCTCCATTAAATCCGTCGTGTTTTGAGCCATTCTCGCGGAGATGGTCCTTGACATTTCGGCGACTTGGGAATCTCTAAAATCTTGGAATTTTGAGTTTTTCTAGAAACAGTTCGATTTTTATCTATATTTTCTGTTGAGCCTGTCAGAAAAGAAAGTTACAAAATTAGTACAATTGTGCCTCGAGATCGTCGTTCTTCCTTTTCGTCTCGGCGATTTTCCTTTCCAATTCTCGATTTCTCTCCCTTTCGTCAACCAAATCAGTCTCCAACTTCGCCATTTTCCTTGACATTTCGGCGAGTTTGGAATCTCTAGAAGTGTCTCATCCTCAGATATTTCTTTAAGGACTCTCAAGACTCACATCTCGGCTTTCAAATCAGCACCAATCTTGGTCGATCGATCATCACTTTCCGAGATTTTCGAGTTGATCTTTGTGAACTCATCACTTCTTTCCTTTTGTTCACATTCACTGAAAAAGATGAGCCAGAATTTTTGAACAAATACTAAATCCTTTTCCTTAAAAAAAATGCGTAAATCTGCCCGCAACTTCATGATTTCGGCCGTTTTTTTCCCTTTCAAATTGTCTAGAGAGGAGTTGATTGGATTGATTGGAAAGGGTGTTTTGGGAATGAAAAAACTCTTTTCTCAAGTCGCAGTATACAAGAGATATCAAATAAACTCACATTTGGGTCTCAAAGCCAGAGATTTTGCTCTGCAACGCGTTGATTTTCCCGTCGAGCTCTACAATCTTGGTCTTTCCTTCCCTCAATTCCGTGTTTTGAGTTCTTCTGAAAAAAGTTCGTATCTAAACCATATATTGAGCTTGTCAGCAAAGAAAGTTATAAAATTAGTACAATTGTGCCTCGAGATCGTCGTTCTTCCTTTTCGCCTCGGCGATTTTCCTTTCCAATTCTCGATTTCTCTCCCTTTCGTCAACGAAATCGGCCTCCAACTTCGCCTCGATTTGCGCGATTTTTGCTGTCCATCGACTCATCTCGACGTCTTTGTCCTTTTTCATTTCTTCCCTAAACTCTTCGATTAAATTAAAGACTGTTTTTGATAGAAGCAAAGATTTGGCGGAAAACCCACAAATCGGCTTCGAGTTGGGCGATTTTCTTCAACGAGATGGCCGGTTCTTTTATGCGTTTGACACTCTTTTCAGGCAATTCTTCAGTCATTTCGGGCATTTCTGGAGATTTGGAAAAAGAAGAGATGTTCTGAAGACATCGAGGAGGAAGATTCGAGAGATTGTCCATTTCGGTTGCTAGACGATTGGATGCCTACAAAATGACTGAATTTTCTCGAAGAACGAGTGAAAATTAAAGGAAACAGCTACTAAAGAGGCATAATTGATGAGAAAAGACAAAATCAAACAAGAAATTTTTTATCAAGCAAAATAGGGATTTCTTACCACGGAAAATAAAGAGAAAGGAGGGGAATGGGGAATGGGAATGCAACAGTTGGCTCACATCTGCCGTACAGTAAATTGAATTGAGTAAATAACGATTTACAAATGACAGGGAACTTCGGTTCAATGTGACAGGGCTCAATGTGACAATTTTTTTTGGAAAGATGATCCGTAATGGTGTTCGTTGAGAACAGGAATTGATTCTCCAATCGTCGGTATTTGTTGTGCTCCTCGAAAGAGATTATCAAATGATTTCGATCGATTCCCCCAGAACTTTCGATACAGATTCTGTCAAATTTCGGAGAAACAAACATTTGTGTTGAGATCGGTGGGTTTCCTCTGCTCCAAGAACTTTTCCATTTCCAAGAAAATTAAAAAAAATCAATTCAATCAGTCCATCAGTTTTTGGCCCAATTTTTGTTTTATTAAAAAGTTCATGACACCTGATAAATTGTTTAATCCATCTTTAAGAGCTAATAAGCTCTTTAAATCTTTTAACCGTTTGCAAATTGCTCGGATTTGGACCAAGATTTACAAAGAACACACTTCTAAAAACCAATGTTAAAAGACTTTTGTCCATGACTGTACTAAAGATTAATGAATTCTAGAAAATCTCTAAACTTACGGATCACAGATTCTTTCATACAGCTTTGGAAGTCCCATCATTTGAGCCGATTCAAGGAAAATGGTTTTGATGTAAATCCTGCCCGAAGAAGTTGTCTCATTTTAGTTCAAATGGATCTCGCTCAAAACCAAAATTAGAACACTTTAAATATGGATACGAAAAAGTTAATCTTCGCATAAAGACTTACATCTCAAGTAATGGCATCTGTGAAATGCAAATGACTGATTCAACGACGCATATTCCTCAGTTTCGTAATATCAATATCGTAATATTATTATCAATATCGTAATATTATAAAATTTAAATCGACAAAATTGAATGTCTACCGTTTGCAGCTGCCTCCTCGTCACCTTCTTCCTTTTCGTCCTCTTCTTCTGACTCCTCTTCACTTTCACCGGCGTCACCAATGATTTGTTCACGGATCTCGTCGCAGGCAGCATCATTTTTCTCAAAATCGGGATCCAATTTGAAAATGTCTGTAAAGTTTGTTTGAAAGCCAAGTTGATCAAAAATTAAATTTTAAATTTTTTAAAACTTTTTTACAAAAAAACAAAAACTTTTTAGTTCACCCACTAAGCATATTTTCAGGATCGATAGCATCTTCAAGGGAAAGGGTATGTGCAATTTGGACCCCTCCCGAAATAAGATCGAGTTTATCAATTAAAGTCGGGTAGTCCTTAAAGAATAAACTTTGCCAGGCAATAGAACTAAAAACTGACCGCAAATTTATCTCTCCGATTGCGATTGCAGTTTCAATCATATAACGGATACGTGAATGCAATTGTGCTTCAGCAACAATGTTTCGAAGTCTTGAGAAAACATTGTCCAAGGCACGCGGGGCAATCTAACAAATCATTCCTCAATAAGCGCTCCTAAATAAAGCAAACCTCTGTCAGTTTTGCGCCACATTCTTTCAGAAAAGCAATACACACTTCCACTGGATCTTCCGTTGGTGTTTTAAGCATCAAAATCCGATCTCAAGAGCAAGCAACTCGTGAGCACCACTTGTTGATTGATCACCGTTGTTGCTTTGTCGTTTCGACGAAAAGAGGCTTGACTTAACAGGAAACTTGGAATTAATCACTCCATCAAACCAGCGTATACATATGAAAATGTTGAAGAAAAGGCTTGTGCTTGAATTATCGATCGAGTCAGCAAACCCTTAAAATTTTTTTACTTGAGAAAATGCTAAAAAAACAAACTTTCCACGGATAATGTTTTCTTGAAGAAGCTCTCGCACAATTCCGACAAGATTGCTGGCGTTGACTTTATTGACAAGACCGTGGATCTTTTTCCTCAGACGCTCCCAATTCAATCGTCGAAATTGCTCACCCGATTTGTCCTAAATTTTTTCTGTAGTCACGTTATCATTTGATGCATTACCTGGATTTGTTCTTGCATCAACTTCAGCTTCGCTGGTGGGATGTATGCGCCTCCAGTGCGAGAACACAATAAATCAACAGGCTCTTTCTTTTCCTAAAATGTATTTACTTCAACAAAGTTTTCTTGTATACTTTTTGAAAAGCTTCCTTTTCTTTTGCCTTTTCCGGTGATTCCTCACGTCGAGCACGTTTTGGTGTTAGCGACCTAAATTACTAATACTGAATGCAACCCAGGTTAAACTAAACGTTTCCGCCGCTCAGGACTGTCATCACGCCTTGGTGATAGAGATCTAAATAATTTTCATCAAAAAAAGGTGCAAAGCTCTATTACCGTCTTCGCCTTTCTGGAGAAGCTTTACGTTTAGGAGATGGTGACCTCAATCAGCTGTAAACAAAGCCATTTTTTAAGACTCACCGTCTTCGCCTTTTCGGTGAACGGTCGCCACCTCTGCGGCTTTCTGGTGAACGTTCATGGTCCCCACGGCCACGGTCCCATTAACTGAACAAATTAACCTTTATTCATATATATACGGAAGAGATACACACTCATAACGTTACACACTCAACAAGTTAGCAAAATGATAAATAATGAAAACTAGGCGATCAAACGTCCGAGTCTTCGGCGCCTCCGATGTAGAGGATGTTGTTGCATCCAGATTTAAACAAATTAGACAAAAGTCACACTAATCACCTTATTAACATTTCTCCCAAAGCTCCAGTGTTTGTTCCATCAATGTATTCCTTCGCGTTAGCTATCTAAAAGATGAAAATTTTATTTGTGAATGCCTAGGCCTAAGCAAGCTTACTCGTCATATATCTGACGGTTCACAAGCGACATCAAAACTAACAAAATTCAGAACGTACCTCTCCAAACTAGCTTTAAGCTATGCCATAAAAACTGTACACAAAGACAACCCCACCTGGACATGGTGTAACCGTCGACTAAGATGAGATCGGACGCCTCGATATTCCATTCCCCAATTCATCTGCACACAACTGGCTTTCCGGCGAGTCCATTGAGGAACGGCTTTGGGTTGACTGGTTGAACAGACATTCTCTGAAAACAAAATTAAAAACGAATTTAAATAGATAAAATGATTAAAAGAGACTTAAAAAGAAGGAGTCCTCGTAAATATAAAGAACGGTTTTTCGGAATAATTTTTGGAAGAAAAGGATTCGAATACAAGACAGGCATATAACTAGGCGCTTTATGGAGGGACAGTGTGGTTTTTGCACGAGAGAAGAGAACGGGTGGCAGAAATAGAAAAAATGTAAGATTGGCTAATTCAAGAGCACGCGAAATATAAAATAATGGCTCGTCTGAACTTTCTTAAACTTTTTTAAAAAGGCAAAAACTACGCAACTTAACGCTTTTCCGCAGCTTTTGCCTTTTAGCCCAAACTTGACGTGTCAGCGAGGTGTGATTTGTCGAAATTCGGAATCTACGAATACGATTCCCTTTCATGAAAACATTTTTGAAGCTCTACGACCTTTCCTAAGGCCTTTTCCAGCAAAAAAAGGTGCGCAAATGTCCAGGTGCGCAAAAAAAGGTCGCATTTGTCCCACCCCCTATGAGAGTGCATTTTGAGAAATTTTCGACGCTAAAGCTTACACCTTTTTTAAACATTTTTTCATTCTGGTGATACTAGCTGAACGCTCCTTTCTTCATCTCATTATTTTACCTATTTTTCGTCATAAAAGCATACAAAATCATTTGAGCAATTTTTCAAGAGGGCGATACTGGCTTGCCCCATCCCCCACTCAAAATTTTGCCTCCTTTTTGGCAGTTTCGCCTATAAAGGCATACAAAACATTAGCTTATTTAATTTCTTCCTAGATACTTTAATCTTTCTTCCAAATAATTT